ACACACACACACACACACACACACACACACACACACACACACACACACACACACACCAGGCACATCAGGCACATCAGGCACATATACATATAGCACTTTTTGTGAGTATAGAACCATTCTAGACATTGTTGGTTGCAGGAGTGAAAACTAAAAGATATAAGACATGCTCTCTGCCCTCAAAGGCCTTCCAATAGAATTAGTGCTCCATGATGTATGCACATGAAAATCTGGATTTTAAAAAGATTGGATTGGAATCTAAATTATATTCCATGGAAATAAATTATAAATTTAAAAACAAGAGTGACTGTAATTAGTTTTGTAGGCAATCAGACATAGGCAAGTTCTTGAGGGTCAGGAACATCTTCCTAAAGGAAGTGGGATCTTATAACACAATAAAAGAAAGAATTGGGCTTAATGAATGTGGTGAGGTGATGACAGGTACTCAGACTTGTGGTGGCTTCCTGAACAGGAGGAAAAATTCTGAGACAGCATTCAGGCTTAGAAAGTGAGAGGACCACAATGGATTAGCAGTATCCAATGTGGGCGCAAGCGATAATGGTGGACATCAGTACATATGTGTCAAGGAAAGACTCAGAAGCAGAAATCCTTGCGGCATGTTGACAGTGCAGTATGGAGACCAGTCCAGCTGGAAGAAGGAGTTGAGACTGGGCTGTGCCCACTAATAGGAGCCTGCCATTTTAAAGTCATGGCTTTGCCCTTCAGGGACTGCATCTGTATTTGAAACCCCACTTTTGAGGAGCAGTGACTGCAAGATTCTTTCCTGGAATATGGGCGTTCTTCTCCCACACTGTCTCCATCACTGCTTGTTCTGTTGCTGACCCCTCCCCCCACCTATCTGCCTTCTGCTTGCCTTAGCCCCTTCTCCAGCTCTGGCCCCTTGCTTTGTCCCTTCCTAAGTGATCCTTCCAACTCTTTGCTCCATCTTCTGGCTTTGCTGCCTCCTTTCTCCTGATGTCTCACTGTTCAAACATAATTTGGCCTATGGACACATTCTTATGTACGGCCCCTAGGGCCAGTTCCTGCTAGCCAACTTTACCAGTGGGCCAATTCTCTCTCCTGCTATTGATTAACTTTGCTCAAATGCTCTCCCCTCTGAGAATTCAGTAAATGGTGAGGTCACCCAACCTGTCCTGGTTGTTTCTACTGTAGCCTGAGAGAGGCCTCTCCCAAGCTATCCCTGAAGTTCAGCACCTTCTTGGAGCTTCTAACATCACAACACATGACATGCTCTGGGGCCTTCTGCCATGGCTCCCACAGTCAACAAATGAATAGGGCCTTCCGACCACTATAGCCTCAGCTTCTCAGCTATTGCTAAAACGTTCCCAGCTGCCACCATCTCCAGCAACTTTGCAGCTCTAGTTGCATCAGGAAGCTGGGTCTGGCCTCTCTGTGACCCTATTCTATCTATGGCTTGATCAGAGATAGGTTAGACTTTGAGTCAAAGAATCTTTTTGGTTGTCAAAAGGTAGCAGTCTCCATGTTAAGAAGTATTCCCCCCTCCCCCTTTACTGGGAATGCCAAACAGGCCAAAGTGGGATGAACTAAAACAGACTAAAAAAGTACTGGATAAGGTTTACACTAACTCCTCTTCTTAATGTCCCAGGATCAGGGCATGGGTCCACAAATTGCAGCTAAGCTAACGGGAGGTCAGCTGATCCTATTTTCCTGTAATTTAGGATTAACTACCAGAACTGTTCCCATAAATGTTTATGAAGTGGGCTACTCAGTTCTAAGTATTTCCCCCAAAGCCTGCTTTTCAACTTCCTAGAAACTTGTGAGTCTCCATGCCAGGTAGTAAGTCTTGACCTCCCAGGAGCTGATTCTGACCCTGATTACTCAGGACATGAAGAGATAGCAAAGTTTTTCTAGTGGGTGAGACATGCTGACAGCCACACTTGGGGAAATCTGTAAAAGTGTAAAAAACAAACAAAAACAAAACTGAAGGTAGGACACCTGTGAGGAGGTTGTAATATTTGTCCAGGTGAGAGGTGTCTGGAGCCTGATCTGGAGATGATAGTTACCTTATTACAAAGGAAAATTCAGGACCTGGGGCCTGACTACACATGGGACTGAGGAAGCAGGTGTCACACAGATGACTGTACATTCAGAGCCTTGGCACAGATTCCAGAACCAAGGGCCAGGTTGACCCTCTTCTCGATCACAGTCATTGTCATCCAAACCTCAGAGAAGGTAAGGGAGCTCAGTCCAGGCATTTATTTGGTCAGAGGCACTGGCTTGGTTCTTAGTTAGCTGCTAAAGACCCTGAGACTGGGACTTACTATGATCTCATATTATGTATTTCCAGCTCCTCTAGTGGTAGAACCCAGGGGAGAAGCTGGCATGTAAATAAGAGAACAGCAACAATTATAAACCTTTTATAATCAACCCTCCTGGCTGATTGAAAACTTGTGATCATTTTTTAGATGCAAAGCCACCTCAGCCACCTCAGCCTGCCCAAGACTTTGTCGTCCTGACTGCTTGTTTAATAATTGTGATATTCCCACTTGTGTTTGTGGCGTCCTATCTAATACTAAAGAAAATGAAGAAGCCTCGCCCCTCTCATGAATGTGGTGAGTCATTGCTCGTCCTCTCTGCAGAGTGTCACTTTGTAGCCACTTCCCTATCTGCTGCCTCCTGCAGCTCCTTGGCTGAGCCCAGACTGGCAAAAAGTCAACAAGAGGTTGGAGGAAAATGTTTCCCCTCAGGATTTGGAACTGAGTCCCATATAGATGAGACTCAGCAACTGATAATGTTGCTCTGGATTTCTAGGAAAGGCAACAGTTCTAACCTAAGATTTACAAATATACTCTGGTTTCCAGACAAAGTGGATTATTTCTTGCTTTACCTCCCTCTTCATAAGGTTACTGTCAGAATTCAATGAAGCAAAATAGTGAAAACACTTCTAAATGTTGTGATTGTAGACCTGTGATCAAGCAGGGATGTTTGGTGGAAGGAGGGGAGCATTAGATAACCATCAGATTTGCCTTCTCATTTCTAAAATAGGTTTCCTGAGCAGTTAGACGAATTGTTCCCCACTGACTTTTAAAAATAATATTAACTTTTATTGATTACCATGTATTACATATGCATTACCAAATATACTGGGAGGGAAATCACCTATAGTTTCACGAGTCAGAAAAAATCATTATGCCGACAATATTTAGTGTATATCTTCTAGGTATTTTTAATGTATAAATCTATGTTATTTTCCATAAGTGGGATAATATTATAAGGACTGTTTTTTGTTGTTGTTGTTGTTTTACAATTAGGATAGCCTCAGATGTTTTCTAACTTATTTGTACTAAATGTAGAAAAAAATATTTGATGTCATTAAATATCATTCCACAGTATTCTACATGCAAGATATTCCATTATGTGACTATACCTTAATTTATTTAACCAACTCCATATTGTTGGACTCTTGGGTTGTTCCCATACTTTTGCTATTGTAAACAGCACTACATTCAGCAACCTCCCCATATCTGTTGTAAAAGTGGCCTGTGTTTAGTGGGGGAAAAGTAGATCCTGACTCGAGAATAATCCCTGTATATGGTTTGGGTTGGTTTAGGCAAAGTTGTAAGATAAGGTTGGATTTTATCTCAGTAATTGATCTCTAGTAGAAGTTTGGTTGGTGTTAATAAGGTAACTTTCTTATTCATTCATTTATGGTAAAATGAATAATGCTTCTGGTCAGCATCTTATTTAAGATTTCAGTGTATTGATTTTAAGACCCATCTAGAAAATAGATGATGACATTAGCAGTCATTCATTTCATCCACTGTATTTTAAAAATAGAAAATTGGGGAGTGATTATCCAATTTCAAGAAATTAACACAAAGCATATGGCAGAGCAATTCAAACTGCTACAGTAGGGAAAATTCAGTGTACAGGATCAGATATATGGCTATACCATGTTTGTTCAGGCTTTGACTTTTCAAGGTGAGAGTTTTGAACTTCTCTTTCTTTCAGTCTTATAACCTTTAGAATTGGCTAACTGTGCAGAAGCAACCTTTGGGAATAAGCTGTCTCCTAAATTTGCTTTCACATTGGAATGATTAGCTTACAAATTAAAACAAAGAAGAAGGGATGGAGAAAAAGAGAGTAAGAATGTTTTTCCCCCCCAGGAGGCAATCAGAAAAATTCAGAAGAGTAGAGAAGGGAGTTAAAGAGGAGGATGTTTGTGTATACATGAGAGAAATGGGAAGGGGTTTTAAGAAGCTATATGTGTGCATTTGAGGTGGTCAAATTGAGCTACGAGTGGTAAAAGGCAGAAGACATCAAGAGAGCACAGCACATATATGACACCCCCCCCAACACACACACACACACACACACACACACACACACAAGAACCTGATAAAAAGTACTGGTAGGAAGAAGCTGTTTGGTCAGTCACCTGTGCCAGTGAGTTTGGTCAAAGAGAAGAGCCTTGATACCACTGGAGGAAGGGAGATGTACCAAATAGCTATGACATGTAGATATGAGATGTTTGTAAATTTGGGCTCTATAACTTCAGCAATGTCTGCACTTGCTTTGTGGATTCCTCTGGCATTGGCTATATGATAAACAGAATAATGCTCTCAACAAGGTATTCACCTCCCATACCCCAGAATCTATAATATTTCCTTACATGGCAAAGGGCACTTTCATATGTGATTAAGACTGACCTTAAGATGATGAAATTATCCTGTATTATCCAAGTGGACCCAGTCTAATGACATGAGTCAGAGAACCTTTCCCAGCTTGGTTAGAAAAATGAGATGGAAGGAGGAGAGATCCAAAGCTTAAGACAGGCTCAACCTACAATTGCTGGCTTTGAAGATGGAGGAAGGGGCCATGAGCCAAGAAATGTAGGCAGCCTTTAGAAGCTGGAATGGCCCTCAGCTGAGAGCCAGCAAAGAAATGGAGATAGTCCTACAACCACAAGGAACTAAATTCTGCCAATAGACAGGCATGAATGAAAGCAGTCATGATCCATCCACAGAGACACAAGCTTACTGATAACCTATAGGAGTTTCTCAGAAAATGGAGCTTCCTCCTAATCCAGTATTAATCATTTCCTCAGAGGAGACAACCCTCAAATTAATTAACTTGGCATCATAAGTCCTTTCCAGTGTTTGTTCATAATTATAGTGTTTTTCCCCCTCAACCATACATATTTACCCTGTTTAGCCTGTTAAATTAATAAAGGGAAAATGGCATGGTTATTCTAGCTAGCTTCTAATCTCTCTTCTCTATTTTTATTTTTATTTTGTCAAACAAGGCAGATAAGGCATGAGAAATTGTCATCCTGAATTACTTTTTTTTCCCAATCAAAAGCTACCCTATCAGCTTACCCACTGAAGTTTTGCTTCCTCATTTGGGTTTTGTGTGACTGAAATCTGTATGTAATGGTGCCCTAGCCACCAACGGTTTTTTTTCAACTTGCCTCCCTCCACCAAACCTGAAAGAGTCTCATCTTCTTGAGGAATGATTTCTTAAAGGGCAGTGTCTTTTCCATAATAAATCACTTTAACCACCATTTAAATGGAAACCTTCTCAGGGCTTAAAAACTGAAAGTTGGTGATATCACATCTGCTCCTCTAAATGCTAAATTTGTAATCAAATCCAAAAGGTTAGACATCTTTTTTATTGTCTGCTTTCACTTTAAAATAGAAGAGTGTGTGTGTGTGTGTTTAAATGGTGATGATTTTGTCATAGGTATAAAAGGATAATTTATTCTGCATTGGCCTACAGACATTTGAAATACTCAATTCAGCTATAAGCACCATTATTTTCAAGAGGAACTTGGACAAATACAGAACCTAACAAGGTTTATTTTGTCTGGAAACTGAATCTCATAACAAATAGCTCAAGTAACCAAGGATGCTTAGCTGGGGGGTGGGGAGCCTTGTGGAGGACACAAGTAGTGCCTACAAATATCTGAAGATCTGCCACAGGGTACAAAGATCATATTTAACTGTGGCTCCAAAGGGCATCTCAATGGATGTAGGTTATAAGAAGGCATATGGAAATAAGAGATACTTTTCTAACAATTAAAGCTCTTTTAAAAGTATATAGATGGCACAGACTTCTCCTTCCTCACATGAAGGATTAACTGCTACTGGAATTGCCTTCCTGCCATAAACAACTAGTAATCAGGCAAACTATGTAAAACAATGGTTTTAAGACATTGGACAATTGGCCCCAGAAAACTACAGTCCCTGAGATCAGAGAAAAGATGAGGTGAGCCCATCTTTGATTGCCCCCAATTTACTGTCTGGTCAGCGTCCAGGCAGCTCTGAAGTGTCCAGGGGAGCCCTCATATCAAAACTAGAAAAAAAATGACAAGGAAAAAGCTGCACATATCCCTTATGGACAAATAAATGCCAAAATCCTTAACAAAATTAGCAACTAGAATCTAGCAATATATTGATAATATGATACATTATGATCAAGTGGGGTTTATTCCAGGAACATAAGGTATGTTTAACATACAGAAACCAAGCACTAAAATTCACCATATTGACAAACTGGAAAGAAAAACTATGTGATCACATCAATGGATACAGAGAAAGCATTTGACAAAATTAATATCCATTCATGATTTTAAAAAAGAAAGGAAAACTCTTATAAAAGTAAGAATATGAAGGAGCTTCCTCAACTTGGCAAAAGACATCTTTTAAAATTCTTCAGTTAACATCATATTTAATGACAGCAGACTGATTGCTTTGCCCCTAAGATCAAGAATAAAGCAAAATGTTCCCTCTGACTATTCTTGTTCAACATTTTACTGGAGGTCCTGATCAGGGCAATAAGTCTAGAAAAAGAAATAAAAGGCATACATATTGGAAAGGAAGGAGCAAAACTCTGTCTTTTTTGCAGATAACATTATCGTGTTTGTAGAAAAGCCTAAGGAATCCATTAAAAGCTATTAGAACTAATTGAATGTAACAAAGTCACAGGATACATGGTTAATATACAAAATCAAAATCAATAGTATTTCTATATACAGACAACAAACAATTGGACACTGAACAAAATTTAAATACCAGTTACAGTAACATAAATAATATTAAAGGCTTGGGAATAAATTTAAAAAAACAAATACAAGACCCGTATACTAAAAACTAAAAAATATTATGACTCACAGAAATGAAAATGATCTAAGTAAGTGGAGAAACATGCCATGTTTATGGATCAGAAGACTACGTATTAAGATATCCATTCTCTCCAAGTTGATTTATGGATTTAATGCAATACCAATAAAAATCCTTGCAGATTGTTTAGTGGAAATTAAAAGGTTGATTCTAAAAGTGATGTGGAAATGGAAAAGATCTACAATTGACAAAACAAGAAAAATAAGACAATTCTGAAAAATAAGAACGAAACAGAGGACTTATACTACCTAATTTTAAGGTTCACTATACAGTTATAGTAATCAAGGCAGCATGATATTGGTGAAAGCAGACTCATCAGTCAATGGAACCAAATGGAAAGTACAAGAATAAACTCACGTGGCCAACTGATTCGACAAAGGTGTGAAAGTAATTCCATGCAGAAAGTGTAGTCTTTTCAACAGATGATGTTGGGCAATTAGATATGCACATGGAAAATATGAAACTAGGCACACACAAAAATAACTTGAAGTGAATTGTATATCTAAATGTAAGAGCTAAAATTAAAAGGCTTTTGAAAGAAAGCAGAAGAGAAAATCTTCATGACCTTACCTTACCCAAATCTTAGGGCACAATATGTGCAAACCATACCATAAAAATGTAAATTGATAAGCTGAGATTCATCAAAACTAAAACATTTTGCCCTTTGATTTTCTTAAGAAAATGAAAGGTCAAGCCACAGACTTGGAGAAAATATTGCAAAAATGTATATCTGATAAAGGACTTATATCCAGAATATATAATTATATATTACTACTCGGTAATAAGAAGACAATCCATTTAACAAAAGGCAGGGAGCAAAAGACTTGAACAGACACTTAACAGAAGTAGGTATATAAAAGACCAATAAACATAGTCACACAGTCACAACATCATTAGTCATTAGGGATATACACATGAAAGCCATAACAAGATACCATTACATACCCACGAACATGGCTAAAATTAAAAGGACTAATAAGTACCGGGTTCTGAGGAAGATGTGAAACTACTGACATTCTCATGCACTGTTGCTACACAGCCCTGCAGTTCTAGATATTTCCCATGAGAAATAAAAACCACATGTCTACGCAAAGGCACACATACGAATGTTCACAGCAGCCTTCTTTATGGTATGCATCCCTGGCATCCCGAGGTTTTATCAATTGGCGAATGAATAAACTAATGGTGGGATAATGCTGGTAACATGCCACAACACGGATGAATTTCAAAAGCATTGTGTATGCTAAGTGAAAGACTCCAGGCGCTACAGCGCTACACACTATATGATCCTACTTATACGAAATTCTGCAAAAAGCAAAGCTCTTGTGACATAAGTGGATCAGTGGTTACCAGGGCATAGGGTGGGGGAAAGGGGCAGCAGGGAACTTTGGGGACTTATATAAATGTTCTATATCTTGGTTATGGTGGTAATTACATGACTGCATACCCTTGTTAAACTCACCAAAATCTCTATGAAAAGTGATTGGATTTTATTGTATATTAATTATACCTCAATAAAGCTGATTATTTTTCAACATGCACTCAGACACACACACACACACACACACACACACACACGAGAGAACTGCCACTGATAGAAAGTGTTCAAACCGTCAGGGGAGCTGAGAGGATCCCTGTGGTCCCTAACTTCCTCCATGGACACCCAGGTTAACAACGCCTGCTGTCAGGCTCTGAGTGGGACCGAGCACTATCACAGCAGTCAGCCTAGAGGAATTTGCACCCCAGGTTGCATCAGTAGTAAGTCCGCACAGTAGCAGCTCAGGCTTTGGGAGGTCCAGCCGGCTGGAGCTTCCCCACTCGGGCCCATGCATCCGACACTGTGTAGCTGGTCGTGCCAGCTGGCCAACCCACTTTTACATCATCTTTTCCTCCTAAATCTTACTTTCAGAAAAGGATTGGAAACTCTTGTCTGATCACTAACCGACGGCTGAAACTAAATATGTTACCCCTCCCACTAGTATTTTTATTTTAGCAAAGACTAAATTTGTAAGTGAAAATCCTATTTCAACCTTAGAACTTGCGGCACAGTGAGCGAATGAAGACATTTATGTTTTGGATGCGAGGAGCTCCTTCCCAGTGCCCCTGATGCTGATTCAAGTAACCATCTATTTCACATGGGATGCTACAACTTTTCTCTGAGTCCTAGGACTTCGGAGCCTCTTCGCACTTTTCCTCTTTTAGTGTCTTTGGGCAATGCATTTTCTGAGGTGGTTTTGCTCTCTTTCAGAAGTCGCCCAAGCAGAAGAGGAAGAGAGCGAACAGGAAAGGTGAGTCCTGACCCTACAACGTTGTTGAAAGAGGTCTGATTCCCAGAGGGTCTATAACTTGACTAGGCTTCAATCTGAGGCCTGCTGAGATTCCAGCAAACACGAGCTAATGGGGAGGGAAAGGAAAGCGAGATGAGAAGGACCTGGAGGAAAATGTCCTAGTTGTAAATGGATGGCGGGGTGTCCGATGCGCAGTGCTCAGTCACGGCCAAGTGAGCAGTCATTACCGAAGGGGTCTGCTGCGGCTGTGTCATATTCACCACGGTGACCCCGGGGCGCAGCACGGTGCCTGGACTGGTGGGCATCCCACGCGTGTGGAGTGAACGCACGAACACGTGAGGAATGACAGGGTGTTCCGTTTAGCTCCGTGTCTTTGAATCTGCTGTGCCCTCTGCTTGGAATATTCTTCTGCTACTTCTTCACTTCGTCCTTCAGATCTTGGTTCAAGCAGCACTTTCTTAAAAATCCTTCCCAAACTAGATTATGTCAGCCTATGATAATGTCATGTGAATCCCCGTCCTCTTACTTTATAATACCAAGTATATTTACATATATGCGTTATTGTCTTGTTAAACTCTATAAACTGAACTAAACTAAACTCTATAGAGGGCAGGGATCGTATCAGTTAAGCTCATCACTGTGCCACCAGCACCCAGCAGCGCATGGAGTATAGTAGGTGCTCAATAAATATTTATTGAAAACATTGAATGTGTGCATGAAGGAACACATGAAGATTCCTGGTAATCAGTCCTTTCACAACATGACGCAATCAGATTGTCCATACCTCCATCCCCATTGAGGAATCGAGCTTGTCAAGAATGCCAGGGCTCTAGCTGCATGGCCGTGGGGTCAAAGCAACCCTCAGTGAAGAGCCTGGCCACAGAGACGCAGTTCAGATCCCAGGGTGCATAGGGCCTCTCTGGATACACCAGCCACTGTGAGCCTAGGGATCCTGGGTGGTGAGCCAAGGTCCTGAGATCTTGCCTGCCCTGTCAGACTCAGTTCAGAAATGGTCCGGAAGGGAAGAGCCTACAGAGGGAAGGCAGCAGGGACTCAGCACAGGGCAGGGACCGGCCGAGACAAAAGTAAAGGGTAGTTATTGGAGGAAGTGTGGATGACACTTCTCCACCTCTCTCTTCAATAGTTTGTTTCACCTCACTCCTATCACAGTGCCCCCTATATTTGGCCCTGTTGAAATCTAGAAAAAGGGAAGTGGCTCTACTGTGAAATCTAACCCAACTGTTTTTTTTTTTAATTTTTCCAGAGTAGAAAACCGTGTACCTGAAAGGTCTGACGAAGCCCAATGTGTTAACATTTCGGAGACAGCCTCAGGTGATAAAAGTGCTACACATTTTTAATTAAAGAGTAAAGTCCATTTGACTATTTTTTTTATCCCTTGTGGGGTGGTTCCTCTTTATTTTTTAATTAAATTTATTGGAATGGCATTGGTTAATAAGATCATATAGGTTTCGAGTGCACAAGCCTATGATATACATGCTTTCCTTTTCAAGTTCTTGGCTGACCTTTTTTTTTAAATCCTCACCAGAGGGTAGTTTTTCCATAGCTTTTCAGAGAGGGTGGAGGGAGGGAGAAAGAGAGAGGGGAACAGCAACGTGAGAGGAACACATCAACTGGTTGCCTCTGCATGCACCCCAACCAGGGCTGGGGGCCGAGCCTGCCCTGGGCGGAAATCGAACCCAGGACCCTTCAGTCTACATGCTGACGCTTTAACCACTGAGCCAAACTGGCTAGGGCTTGGCTGACCTTTTTATTATCTCTCTTAACCTTCGCAGAGGGCAAGACAATATTACCATTAATAACAGTGGAGGCTCTAGGACCCCTCTAAATGAAACAGCCTCTCTATGATGCCAGCTCTGCTTCCTGTGCCAGGAGCAGATTTTATCTGCTGCTTTTCTTCTCAGAGCACACTGATTGGCTCCTAATGTTTAGGACCGATGCCTCCTGTTTCAGATTCGATCTCTTTTCTTAATTTTACACAGTGTGTTTTCTGTAGGACTCCCATTTCTTTGAATAGTGCCTTTTGTCTACTCTGGATTCTAAGGTAGCACCTCAATCTATCTTGTATATCAATGACTGGACACCTCCCTCTCCAGTCTAAGTGGGAGCTATATATTTTATGTCTGTATATAGTGTTAATATTAACATTTTGAAATATAAAGAAATATGTACTCTAGTAATATAATTATGATGCCTTGAGAAATGTCTACCCTCTGGTAAGGAGTTCTTGTTCTTCCGTGAGGGTCAGTGAGGAAAGCAGACGAACTCAGAATTTGGGAGACTAGGAGAGGCAGAGATGGAAGCACTCTGGATCCTGGAGCCATTTCCATGTTGGTTGTTGCTGACATTGAAGAGGACACACGTGCCCAACAAGCTATCGCTAAGCCTTAGCCGAGAGTGCTGGATAAAGCAGGACAGTGCTGTGCATCGTGAGCCCTACTTCTCTTCTTGACAAAACTGGCTGAGATGGTGGCCTGGGCAACTGCGCAAGAGCCAATAGAGAGATCACAATACTCAAAAAAGAAAAAAATGAAAGATCTTGACCAACAGAGATGCATATGAATGCTCAGTCTGTCCAGTCCTTTCACAAGCCTTGGGACAAGCAATAGACGGACAGTTTGTCCAAGTGGACTTAAGACAGACAGTTGTTTCCTGGGTGGTCAGCGAGAGGTTTTGATGATACTGGGTTGTTGTGATGTTTCACCTGGCTGAAAGCGGAGCTTGGGATAGAGGGCTATCATCTTGATAAATGGAGGGACACTTAGGACTTTTCCAACTAATGGCTGAGAGACAAAGAGCTGGAATAAAATTAGTAAGACCAGGATGCAAATCATCCAGAAGTTGACTTACTTAGCTCATAGATACCCTAAGAACATATTGGCTGGCCCAGAACAGTGCTAGTGAACTTGTGTCTGAAGACAATGAGCATCGTTCTCAACTAGAAAACTGGGTGCAGGAGAGGAATATAATAGCCCGACCCTGGCTCTAAAGCAACATCACTAAGGGATGGAGCAGCTTCAGTTGAAACCTAGAGAGAACTTTGGGAGGCTACAGAAATAGCTCCGTAGACCCTGGAGAGCTCTAGACAACTGGGATAGCCATGCTTGTTCTTGTAACATTACCATTTGTGTGCTCTGCCCTGCTTCTGCCTTCCTTAGACTCTAAGCATTTTGTTGGTTCCTAACATGTTTTGTACAAAGCAGTTCTCAGTAAATTTTCATTAAATTGATGTAAAAGTCTACTTTTTGCTTCTACTTCATCAGTACTACTCAACCCTTGTAGACTGATGTTACTCCTTCTTCCTAATGTACTTCCTTCATCTTGATGTCTCTGTGGTAGCCTCATTGTCCAAGCACCCCAACTAGAAGCCTCTGACTCATCCCAAACCTTCTCCTCTTTCCTTTGCCCAGCCACTGTATGAGAAAGAGGGGCTAATATAATTCTATATGTTAATCTCAGTAATAAGACATAAAAGATTGGGTAAGACAGGTTGTTTCTAAAGACAACTGGGAAATTTGGAGTTAAGCAAGAGATACTTGCTTTTCAGTTTGTAACCTTGTATACTGTGTAATTTTTAAATTGTGTGCTTTTATATACACTAAACAAAGGCTAATGTAAAAGTAGTCCTTACATTATTATAAATTCCTATAACTATACTGTATATTTGAAAGTTGCTAAGAGAATAGATCTCAAAAGCTCTCATTAGAAGAAAAAATAATTTGTAACTATGTGTAGTGATGGATGTTAACTAAACTTATTGTAGTAACCATTTCACAGCATAAATCATTATCTTGTAAGTCTAAAACTAATACGTTACATGTCAATGATATTTCAATTAAAAATAATAAATAAATAAATAAATAAATAAATAAATAAATAAATAAATAAATAAATGCAGGGAAATTCTGGGGGGAAAACTGTCTAGGCTCTGTGAGGGCAGGAATGTGTCTAGCTTTTTCATCAGTGAATCCCAGGAACCTAAGATAGTACCTCAAAACTATTTGTTTAAATATTGAATGAAACATTAATATGTCCTCTGGTAAAAACATCCTTCCTTTGTATATTAAATTCTCTAGACCTTCTGGGTTCCTTCTATGTTTCTTTTCTGGGGAAAAGAAAGACAAGAAAGGTTAAAAGAGGTTTACCTTGTACCAGGGACTCTTCTGAACCTTTAATTTACTATCCCACTTAGTACTCATAATGACCCTGTGATGTCAGTATTGGGATATGATGCCCATTTTGCTGATGAGGAAACTTAGGGACAGCGAGGTTAAAGCAATTTATCCACGGTCTCTAACTTAGTAAGTGGCAGAGCTGGGTGACATTTTGGAAAGCATCACCCCCTCTATCCCTTTATTTCCCAGCTCCATGTTTTCTGGCCATAACAGACAGCATTTTGGTTGGTTGCAGGTTGAGTGCCTGTACCACATCTTGCATTACACTAGCTCAGCCCTCCAAGGTGGTACCTCCTGAGGACATGTCACTTACTTTTCCTGAAGCCACTCCATCATCTCATAAGGCAGGAGCTGTGGATGATAAGGCACATGATTTGACTAGTGAAGATGAGTTTTTGGTCAGGGGGAAAGTAAACTACAATTGCTGCTTCCCAATCCTCCCCCTCCGCCCCTGCCACTTACTGTTCTTTCGCAATTCACCCTCCTCCCTCCACTATTCTGAAGCCAGTTTCATCCACTCAGTGCCCTCATATGTGTTAGCACAGGCCGGAAAGCACAGAGTCATCTCTGACTACTCCCCTCTGACCTTTCCCTCAACACCCACTGCTCACCTCCACTGTATTGCCACATCCAGGCCAGGCAAGTGTCCCTCCAGCTTTAGCATCCACCCCTTCTTTTCTCAGTCAGGCTCTTATTTCTAAGAACATGACAATCACCACCCAACTAACCCTAGTCTACTATCTCTCTTACCCTGCATTCTGTCCAGAACATCAAAAGGAACAAGGAGGTGAACAGTGAAAAGAAGACCCCTCTCACATTCCTTTATCCTAACCACAGAGGCAATTCCAACCTCCAGCTTCTGATGTATCTTTCCACAGACACACTATACCAATATGTAGTGTATATATAGTGTGTATATACTTATACATGCATGCACATATATGTGTGCATGGATTTATTATATATGTGTGTGTTCCATATATTATACATATTCTATGTATATTCCACATATATTCCATATATTTCATGTATATATTCCACGTGTGTGTGTGTTCATGAGTGTATTAGTGGTGCAGTCTCTGCAGTCTTGACTCAGTATACATAAATTTATTTGACCCATGTATTTTCAGTATGGTAACTCCATCTTCAAATGTGTGAGATGTCTCTCAATTCAAACACTTTTTTCTTTACCCTCTCCAGAGAACAAGGCTCCAGGCTTCTGCCAGGGTGGGAGAGGGAGGTTGTGCAGTGGTGTGAAATAGGAAAGGGGAGCTCAGCTCCAGCTGCTTCTCAAACAACCTTACCGAATCTTTATTTCGGCCTTGATTTTTTCTCTGTATCTTCACCCTCACTTGCTTACCAGTCCTGCCAGTTCTTGAGATTTTTTTATGATGCTGGGGTGTAAATTGGGTTGTTTCTTGGGTTTCCCAACCAGCAAATAAGATTTGGCTGTCCTGTCTTGCCAGTTATTTACCACTCATCCACCTACTTTTCAGATTCCAAACTGTTGTCTCCTTCCCTATTCTTGCACTTGTTAAATTTTTCCATTTAAATTTAAAAATAATTTTTTCTTTAGTTTTAATAGAATTTCAAGAGGTAATGGAATTAGATGTGTATATTTAATCTACCACCTTACCTGGAACTCCACTACTCAAAATTTTTAAGAACATTACCATTGACTGCCTTCAACCTAAAACCCAAAGTCATCAACAGTGTGACTCAAAACTAATTCAACTCTCTTACCAACCTTATTGTTCCCTCTTCTCATATTGTAAAACCATAATTCTGCCCAGTTTAGCTACTGATCATTTTTTAAATATAGCTTGTATTATCTGGGGTTTTTTCACTTATGCTATTCTGGAATATTTCTGGAATGTTCTTCCCCATCTCTTTCTGCTTACTGAACTCTTGTTAAAGCTTGATTCAAATACCACCACCTTTGTGGGTCCACATACTTCACTGTTACCCAGGCTGCACAAAATTGACACCATATCCTTCTTATCCAAGAACATCCTTTCTAGCAATAATTCATTCTTGTTCCAACACTTTCCTTCCCCACCAAGCACCATGACTCTGGCCAATGACCAATTTATAGAGCAGCTCTAGGTTTCCCAAGGAGAACTTCAAGTCACTGAATAAGCAAGTATTCTCCTGGTTGTGCACAGCCTTAGTTCTAAACCCTTTGGTCTGGGCCATTTCATGCTCTACATGCCAACTTCTCCCTAACTGCCCTGGCTTTCAACCACTGAATTGCCTCCTATCCTTGCCACACCACTCAGGCTTGATAATCAGCTCCTCCTCCCAGGTTAGAACTTTAGTTACCCACTCTAAGTACAACTTGGATTCACTCCCTTAAAGAGCTGCCTCTGGCTACCCAGGATAATCATCCCCTCACCCATCCCAGCCTCCAGAACCCATTATTTCAGAGCTTTCACACCAGACCAGCTCTTCGCAGCCAACAGGAAGCAGGGTTAACAGAGTACAGGATTCTACACAGGAGGTAGTGATATGCCCTGTTTCTACCCCTCAATTTTAGTAGACATCCTTATTAACTAAAGTAAAACCTCTCATTTCATGAAACTATATTTTAGAGCTTAAAAGAAGCCAACTAGTTATTGTCCCTCATGGGGGACTGATGGAGGCTGGGTATCACAGGAATTGGGAGACAGGGTCTGGAGAGACGGGACACAGAAAGTGAAGTGAACTCACTCAGAGGTGTGGGGCGGTGGCAAGGTTAAAGTAAAACAGAAAAGGAAAACTGTCCATTTATGGCAACATTTCTGAACCTTGCTGCACTTTATGTTTGCCTGCATGTCACAAAACACTTTTAATCATGTAGGCAGTTATCTCTGTCTGTTCTTTATATATTACTTAACACTTTCCTGTGAACAAGTATTAAGGATAAAAGGCATTAATAATGAAGGAAGCAGAAAAGAGATTAGAATCAGTTTTCACATCTTAGGAGGAAGCACATAAGATTTCCCACTTTTCAAATTATTTCCTATTAATCTACACTTTTGACTATAGTAATAAAAAATGTTAGTGGAAAAGGAAAGGGAAATACATCTCAATATTTATAGGACCCTATACCTGCAGAGTCTAAATCAGAATCACAGAGCTGGAGGAACCAGAGATGCTTAGTGTTGGGTCAAGGCCGTCTACTGATGAAGTATGCTAGCCCTCCTCCTCCTGGCACCAGTCATATTGTTTCCTACT